TCTTATTTGTTATTGGTTTTGTTCCATTATCTCTTCTTTTTCCCTTCTGTCTTCTTAGTTCCTTCGTGTTCTCTTTGGTTGGTCAGTGTTGCTGTTCTCGAACTTTGTCCACAGAACCTCCATCACCACTACCGGTCACTCGGGGGCTGGAGTTTCGCCTTCACCGACTACTACCAGGTGGACATCACCAAGGACCTGGACAACCCCGAGCTGGCCCGTTTCCAGGAAATTGCTGACCCTTTTGGTAATCTTGTTTACTATTTATAAAATAATGTAAAAAAAAAAAAAAAAAAAAATTATCTAGAGAAAAATAGAAGAAATGCAATAATTGAAGATATCACACAGGACAAAGCCATGAAGTTCAACGGCGAGAAAATAATCCAGTAGCTTTGTAAACAAAAAGACATGGTTTCGACATTGCGGCTGCCTTGGTAAAACATGCAGTCGCTTTTGAGTATGGTTAAAGTAATGCATTTTTCTTTTCTATTAGAAAGTGTCAGCGATAAAAGCGTTACACTCATGTCTCTCCACCGAGTATTATGTGTAGTAGTAATAGTAGCAGTAGCAGCAGCAGTAGTAGTAGTAGTAGTAATAGTAGTAGTAGTAGTATTAGTAATAGCAGAAGTAGTAATAGTACCAGTAGTAGAAATAGTTGTAGTAATAGTAGTAGTGATAGTAGTAGTAGTAATAATAGCAGTAGTAGTAATAGTAAAATAGTAGTAGTAGTTGTTGTAATAGTTGTAGTAGCAGTAGTAATAGTAGTAGCAGTAGCAGCAGAAGTAGTAGGGTTAATGATGATTGGCACCTTTCCGTCTTTCCAGACGATAGTGTTATACTGCACTATGAGGAGGCATGAGATTCACAGCCCATGGAGATGGCGAGTGTGACTAGCAAGACCCGCTAGTGTCAAGAAAAGTCTTCCACAATGAGAGCATGACATTTGTTTCCATGAGTCCACCGTCCACCTCAGTACCTTTATCATTCACGTCCCGCTTGTACACATCTTTATACCGTAGTAGAGGTCAGCCGCGACATCTTATTCCCGCTTTTAATTCACCATAAAGGATGTCCTTAGGAATCTGCCATCCTCCGTTCTCCAGGTGTTACCCAGCCACCTGAGCCTTCGTAGATTGAGCATGGTAAAGACTGTTGTAATACCTGCTCCAGTACCTCAGTGTTTGTGATTTTGTTCTGCCACTTAATGCCAAGTATTCTTCTTAGGCATCGCATGTGAAAGCTATTAAGCCATCTCTCCTGATGCAAACAGGTTGACCAAGTTTCACTGCCATAAAGCAGAGTGCTGAGAACACAAGCCTGATAGACAAGGGATTTTGTTTTAATTGTGAGCTTTCTTTTCTCCCAAACTCTCTTTGTCAATCTACTCATTGTTGTTGCTGCCTTACCTATCCTGATGTTGATTTCTTGGTCCAGCGATAGTTTACTATTCACTGTGGAACCCAGATAGGTAAAATGGTCTACTGTCTCAAGCTCTTCACCGTCAATGAAGACTATATGTCTGTCATTGACACATTACACCATAACCTTTGTCTTCTTTTTGCTGACTGTTAGTCCAAATTCACAGCACGCATCAGCAAAGGCAGATAGTAAACATTGCAGATCCTCCTCTGAGTGGGTGGTTATTGCTGCATCATCTGCAAACAGCAGCTCTCTGATAAGTACTTATCTTATCCTGGTTTTGGCCTTCAGCCTGCGAGCATTGTAAAGGTTGCCGTCAGATCGAGAATGAATGAAAATACCACCCTCCTGATCTCGAAAGGCATGTGTCAAAAGAAGTGAAAAGTACATTTCAAAGAGTGTAGGAGCAAGTACACACCCCTTCTTCACTCAATTTTTGATTACAAACTCCTTTGATGTTACACCATCAAAGTTTATTGTACCTTTCATACCTGTGTGGAACGACTCAATATTGCTCACTAGAGTAGGTGGACACCCAATATTCTTCAGTGAGTTGAACAGACCTTTCGACTTACAAAATCAAATGCCTTGGTAATATCAATAAAAGCAACATACAGTGGTTGATTTAGTTCGCGGCATTCTTCCTGCAACTGTGGCAATGAAAATATCATATCAGTGGAAGATCGGGTCCCAGGATTTGGAGTCTTCGCAGAACAATTGTCGCAAGCACTTTTCCAACAGTACACAGTAGTGATATTCCCCTGTAGTCATTACATTCACTTCAAACACCCTTGTTCCTGTACATAGTTATGATGCTTGAGTCTTTAAAGTCTTGCGGAACCTGTCTCCTCTTGCCAGCAGAGTGTTATTAGCTGATGGGTGTGTGGGGTTAGAATGTCTTTCCCACTCTCGGCGATCTCAGTATGAATTTATCTCTGCCTGGGACTTACCCTGAAGCCAATTCACCAATAGCATTCCTAGCTTCTACAACTGTTGGAAATGTGTCCAGATAGTCAAGAGTTGGTAGCGTCTTCATGGCATTAAGAGCACCATCTGCTAGTTTAGTATCAACTGAGTAAAGCTCCAGATAAAGTTCAACCCATCTATCTAAATGCTTCTTCTTGTCATTAATAATCTCCCCATTTAAATTCTTTAGTGGCGCACTTTTCTAAATACTAGGACCGATGGCCTTTTTGATCCCCTCTTACATGCCTCTAACATTACCATCACTGCTAGCACTTTGAATGCTTTAACATAACTGGATCCAGTAGTTGTTGGTACACTGCCTAGCTACGTGCTGCAAATGATTTCTAGCTGCTCTTAATTCAATGTGAGTGTTCCTTGTTGTTCTTTCCTTGTTTCTAAGGAGTATTTTTTGTTGTTGCTGTCAATTAAAGGTTGGAATGTAGCTATTTGCTTCAAACCAGTCCTTACTTATTCCCCCCCTCCCCCAATCCCATAGACTGAAACAGCTGTTTTGTAAAGTCTCCCTAATTTCATCCCATTTTAGGCTTGCTGTAGAGTTATCCTGGATATCAGTGAAAGCATCTTCAAGCTGTTGTTGATACTCAAAGCACTTTACAGGGTCTTTAGTTTTGGAAATATTTAACCTAGGGATTTGTTTTTATTTTAAAGTGAACATTCTCATTGGTTTCATCCGAACTCTTGTAGCAACTAGGGAATGGTGAGTATCACAATCAGCACCGTGGTAGCTGCGAGTTAGTAATACACAGTTCAAGTGCTGCCTCCTTGTGAGAATAAAGTCCAGCTGGTGCCAGTGGCCAGATTTAGGATGTTTCCTTGACACCTTGAGGCGGTCTTTGGTTTTGAAAAAGGAGATTGTAATGCACAAGTCACTTCTAGTACAGAATTCCAGTAGTCTCTGCCCATTTTCATTCATGTGGCCAACATTTTATTTTCCAAGACAAACTGGCCATCAGTTTGAGTCTGACCCCACGCGAGCATTAAAATCACCAAGTATATAGATGCCGTCAGTTTAGGAATTGCTTTCACTGCATTATCTAGTTCCTCATAAAATCCTTTGCGTCCTCTGTTGACGTTAGAGTGGGTGCAAATGCAATAACAAGTGTAATAAAACCACTTGAGGTAGACAAACGTAGAAATAATATTCTGTCACTTCCTCTCGTTGGACTCTCAAATGATCCTAACAGTGAATTCTTTACTGCAAATCCCACTCCATAATTTCTTCGTGGCCTCTGTCTTTCCAGAAGAATGTATAATTATTTTCTCTAATAACTCTGGCAGACGGGTTTTCTGTAGGCCGGCAGTATCTACGTCAAGTTTGTTGAGTTCGGCATCAATGATAGCCACTTTTCTCACATCATTATTGTTTTCCAGGCCAGTGGAAAACCAGGGACACATGGTCCTCACGTTCCAAGAGCAAAGTCGAAGCTTAGGGTTATGATTCTTTTTATTGCCTGGTGCACTGGTTTTTACAGCCTGCAGTTCGGATTTTCTCCTAGCTCCAAGAACCCATTAAAGCATACAAGAGGTGACGGATCATATTTTTGGCTGGGGCTGCCCAGCTTGAGGCAACCCGTGGCGCCCTCGTCTACGCCAACTGACAAGAACTTATAATCCGTAACTGCTGTCTCTCGATTTGTTTCCGAGACCACTAAAGGTCAGGGATAAAGTTCCTAATCTCCATAGCACAAAGCCTGGGCAGTGTTGTAGAGACCATATGTTGCCCATGCATAATGACCCCTGCCTTGTTTACTCCAAATGAAAGGTAAAACCAGTACGTTTGAAACTAAGCATTCTGTAAAAGTTGCCGGATCAGAAGAGCAGTGCTCTATCTGTCCACCTGTCGGAGCTTCCCTCCTAGACCAGCTGCCAGCCAAGGCGAAGGGCCTGGTCTGCCATGCTATAACATAAAGTTTTCAGGTTTTATTTCCTCTTAGTAGCAGTATTAGTAGTAGAAGGAGTAGTAGTAGTAATAGTTATAGTATTAGTAGTAGTTGTACGAGGAGGAGGGCGAGGGTGAGCGGAAGAATGAGGAAGAGTGTTAGTAGCAGAAGTAGTAGTAACAGGAGTAGAAGTAGAAGAAGTAGTAGCAGCAGTAGTCGTAGAAGTGGAAGTAAAAGTAGCAATAGCAGCAGCAGTAGTAGTAATAGTCAGGGACGCGGGAACCTTTTTGTGTGTGTTTTTGAAGAAAAAAAGAACTAGCAAGAAATATATGAATAGTGGGGAAAATGATTTACAAGAAAAGAAGTGTATAAATGAGTAGAAAGTATCAATACTTTCTTACCTGCCACATTCAACAGTTTGATCCATGTCAACTACTACATCTAGCTGCTGTTAACATTTGACCTCTGCTATTACAGCCTACAACGACAGATTGAGCATCCCAAAACTGATCATCACGTCGTCTGGAGACGAGTTTTTCCTGCTGGATGACTCTCATTACTTCTTTGACAAACTGCAGTCGCCGAAACATATCAGGTACTCCAAACCATAATCATCATTCTCGTTATCATCACCATCATTTTATGCTGACAGCGAAAAATGGAGGCATAGAACATCTACGCCTTCTATTGTATTACTTTCTATATATTGTCTACTGCATGTTTACGTTAAGATACATTAAACGGTACTTATCACGAAGCCGCCAACACAGCGAGACTTCTTTCCCTTTCCATTCATGCCGCGGTGGGTCCACTTGCCAGTGTCATGTATACTTTATTTTTAACAGGTTAAAAGTTGTCTTTTTTCTCGTGTTGTCACCGCTCACTTACGTGATTATTTCCACGTTGTGCTACTTGCCCGATGGTTCGGGAGTATGGAAATTACGATGTTTTTGTATTCCTATGTTTCTTCTCAGTGGGTTATTTTTCTGAAGGAAGCCACCAACAAGGAAAGCAGAAAAACAAAAAAACATCCCAGTTTCGATACCCATAAATAGTCACGCCACCTCAACCCCCCCCCCCCACAACATAGGACAGGCCGTGCGACTCGCTGCTGCATGAATGGGAAAGTCAGGAACTCTCGTCAGGCAGGCGAGTTCGTGATAAGTTCTCATAAAAGATACGCCATCATGTATAAATTATGTGATAGATTACATAACTTCCATGTCTATATTGTGTGATACATTGTTGTTGGTACTCCTTTCATCTTTCAATGCATCGATAGTGTTACATTGTGCTGTAGCGAGGCACTGGGATCACTGCCCGTGGCAATGGTCAGTGTGACTAGCAAGATGGTCAGTGTGACTAGCAAGATGGTCAGTGTGACTAGCAAGATGGTCAGTGTGACTAGCAAGATGGTCAGTGTGACTAGCAAGATGGTCAGTGTGACTAGCAAGATGGTCAGTGTGACTAGCAAGATGGTCAGTGTGACTAGCAAGATGGTCAGTGTGACTAGCAAGACCGTTCGCGTTAGTTGGACACAATCTTCCACTATAAGCGCTGGCGATTTCAGAACCATTGTTGCAGACATCCGTATTTGATGCTTTTTTTCAGACACTCAGCTCTCAACCCAACTGCAATAATTGTTTTCTTTGTACCCCTTCCCTTCCAAAATTGTCCACTTCGTGCAATGAATATATGATTCGCACAAGAATAAACACCAAGCAAGCCATATCCTATAAGAAAACGATAGCCTAGTCTAAAAAAAAAAAATAAAACAAAGTTCTTCTTCTTTGCGTTTACTGTCTGTAAACGTCGGCAGAAAGTTTTGGTTGTTCGTCCACCTCTGAATTTTAGACTTGTTCCTAAACCCGAGCGTTGCGTGCAGGACCTTTTTTTTACAGATCTAATTTATGTGCAGACTGTTGGTTTCTTTTCTCTCAGGCAGATGCAAACCGATTTCGAAGAGAGCCTCCAATTCGTCGACTGTTACGACATGCTTGCTGGCGAGGCGGTGATTCTATTCTTGCTCTCCCTACAATGGGGCCCCGGCACACACGGAGAAACCATACTTTAAAGGCTGATGATATTGTACAGCTATTTTTAGATTTACACAGAACAAGATGGCGGAAAACGAAATACAGTATTAGAGTAGAAACACAAATTACAAGAGACTTTCATAGTGCTGTGACATCTAGGCAATCAAAATATTAAACCTAGTACCAAACTCAAAGCATTTAGCTTTAACGTGTAATGAGTTCTCGACTTTGCAGCAAAAACATAGAGAATGACTGAAAGCAATTACTGTTCTAATAACCAACAATCATTTACTCAGAGGCTTAGGGCACACTTGGAGGATGGTAGAGTCCCTTTCGACATCCTCTACGGTGAATTACAGAAGGGTAGAGGATATCGAGGCTGGCGTCTACTCCGATATAAAGTTTGAAAAAAAAAAAAACGGATCATGAATGATATGGTTTTGAGGCAGATTTGAAAGAACAAGACGACATGGGCTATGCTACGGGGAGGGAAAATCAGGCAGGGATTAGGGATAAATGAGACAATGATTATACAGGTTAGGAGCTGTGCGTTTGAAAAAAAAGTATGTTAAATGCAAGGCAACAATAGTCATACAATCCATGGCTCTAATTGAGGGAGATTCTTCTTAACGTTAGCGGGTTTTACCAGTGAGACTCGCCCTAGCCTGTGGTTTCCATTTCTCGCTGTTACACAATATAACAAAGTGCTCTGGAAAGACGGAAAGGGGCCATCTATTAATTTACTGCTGCTAGTGCAGAAAAATGTGGTAGGACAATTCACTTTTTGAAAAGAAGTAAACAAATTCAACTGAATCTAGAACGGAGAAAAGATGTTGGTAGATGTTACTGAAGCCAAGAAAGGCAGGGAGAGCCAGAAGATGATCTTGGGCATACAGAGAAGAGATTAAGAGACACATGGTGACCTAAGGCGTACGGAAAAGACAATATACGAACTTCATTAGGCCAATACTCATTGTCAATTGTTGTGTGTGTGAACATATTTTCTCTAGAGTCACCCCTAATGCCAGCCACACTGCGGAGAACCACGAATTGGAGTATGGAAACCTGTTGGCGGACTTCTACCTCAACATTCTAGAGGGGGCACAGATTCCAAACGTGACCTGGGTGCTGAGTCAGACTGGATCCGGAGGCAAGATTTCTGCCACCACGTCCCGGGTGCCTAACAGTGTGACAGTTCTCTATGCTCGGACAGCTGACAACAAGAGGTACATCCTGCAACATCTCACATTGTATCTTTTGCCACTTTCTCATCTGCTTCCTTCATTATTTTCATGACTCAAATATATCAGTAGGTAATTTTACAATCGGGACACATAGGTTAGTTACAGATAAGTTATATGTTGCTGTATTTGTTTTCTTTACGTTTATTGATATACATTGAGCAGTGTTGTAGAAGAAAAAAACCAAATGCCCAGCACCGTTCGGATTTGATCTCGCGACCTTTGGATCCGCAGGCAAGCGTCTAGCCGCTAAACCACGGAGCCCCAGATACATATGGCAGAGATAGATAGATAGATAGATAGATAGATAGATAGATAGATAGATAGATAGATAGATAGATAGATAGATAGATAGATAGATAGATAGATAGATAGACAGATAGATAGATAGATAGATAGACAGATAGATAGATAGATAAATAGATAGATAAATCATCATCATCAGGTGCCTTGTCGACTGGCGTGGGCGATCATACCTCTCTACAATCTGTGATCTCCTGCAGCATGTATCAGTTCGTGTGCCGACACACCTCCATGCCATGCAACAAGACTGTCAAGCATCTTCTCTCGTCTTCCTCTATCCCTCCTTCAACAAATCTTTCCAGTGGTCACAACATGTCCTATTTTCCGTCTTCTCATAACATGGCCGAAAAATGATAACTGTCTCATTCTGATGGCCGTGATAGGTTGTCTTCGTGCTCCCGCCTCTTTCAAAACCTCTTGGTTGCTCTTTTGGCGGTCCAAGGTATTCTAAGCATTCTTCTGTACAACCACATCTCTAAGGCCTCAATAAATTGTTTGACCTGCCTACCGATTGTCCAGGACTCACAGCCATATGTTAAAACTGGATGCATGTAGCAAGCAAGAATTATTTTTCTAACCTTCAATGACAAAGATATATTGCACAAAATGTTTTTCATTTTATAAAAAGCAGTTTTTGCCGACCTATTCTATTTCTTATCTCAGTTATGCATCTTCCATCTGATGTCATCCATGTGGCCAGATACTTTAATTTCTGTACTTGTCCCAAAATAACACTATCGACTTTTATTACACATTTATAGGAATAATTCGTTTCTTTGATACCACCATTACTACGGTCTTCCCATTATTCAAACTGAGGCCCATTCTTCTGATTTCTAACACCACAATAGATAGATAGATAGATAGATAGATTAGATATATACATATATAGATAGATATATTAGATAGATAGACAGACAGATAGATATTTAGATAGATAGATGGATAGATTAGATAGATTAGATAGATAGAGATCAGATGGAGTAGGCTGGAAGCAATAACATAAATAATATTTATCTTTGCTATGTCCTGCTAGATGTCAGAAAATGACCGATAAACCTTTTTACCGGACATGCTAGTGGGGAGACAAAGATAAGACACCGACACAAAGAAACTTATTATCGAAAATGCTACCAACCAGAATACATGAAATGACCCTTTTCCATACCTTCAGGCGTATTGGGCATATAAGGCTAGACCTATATTTTATAGACCATCGGCACTCGATGGGTGATGGGAGTCAAAGTCATTCTGAGAAAGTCAGGCATCGTCAGGACTCGAACCCACTACCTTCTGATCCGCAGGCGAGCGTCTAGCCACTACACCACCCCAACAGCAATAACTTATACACATATATATATATATATATATATATATATATATATATATATATATATATATATATATATATATATATATATATATATATATATATATATATATATATATATATATAGAATATATATATATATATATATATATATTTTAGAAATCAGGCACACTTGAGAAACTAGTCCCACTGAAGATCTTGTCAGAGACATCATGTGCTGACATACTCGTCCACTGAAATGTCTGTGTAGCTAATTTTTAGATAAATTTAAAAGAAAAAAACTATACATGGAACTTGTCCAGGCGAGACTTCCGGTTAACAGTCATCGACCCGGTGCTGGGAAGCTTGAGGTCAAATCCTGTCTTTTGGCATAGTCTTGACGCTACCAGGATCAGCGACCTGGAATATGAGGCAGACATACACAGACCTGTCGATGGATGGCTAGCTTTCTTTATACAGGTATGTTCTTATGGTTATTGATGTGGTGTTAGGCTGACTGTCTTTGTCCAGGTGTGTATCTAGCTACCAGTGTGGACTTAATTTGACTTTCTGTAGCCAGGTATGTGTATAGCAACCAGTGTGGTTTTAATTTGACTTTCTCTAGCCAGGTGTGTATCTACTGCAACTTGTGTGGGGTTCAGTTGACCTTCTATTTATAGTGGGATGTCTCACCAGCAGCATGTTGAACGTGGTCGTCTTTTTTTTTTTCTAAGACGGAACTGGAACCAAGACCCTTACTGGCATAACCAGGCAATTCTGCACTGAATCAGGCAGAAAAAAACCAGTGTAAACATACAAATAACACCATAATATGTGAAGTAACTAACCACTGTGTATTTCCAGAGTCCATAGGTGTGGAAATAGCAGTAACATGGCAAACCTACCATGCATGCCGTAGGAGGCAACTCAGCAGGGTTGAGATGAGACTGGTTGACCCAATTCGTAGAAAACTTTAGCTGCACACGGGCGACTTAGTATCAGGGTCTAAAATCTATATGTTTGGAGATCAACAACAGAACATACAGTACAAGACCTTTTTACACTTTCTTGTGTATATGGTGCTCGTCCTATACTGTTGTGGACTAACCAGCACTTAAATAATGAAGTGGTCAGTATAATAACAGTCGCCTTTACTTCACAATACATTTCTTGGTTCAAATTTAGGTTGCAGAGGCTAACAGCTTAGGCTACGGAGTGCATCGACAGACGAACCAAATGTGATAGTGAGCAAACAATTAGAATGTTGAATTTGTCTAGAGATGCTATGGAGAAGAATATGCATTATCTTACTGAGATTTAAAAATAAATGCAGACTGGTTATGAAAAGCTGTGGCTACATACGGATGTGAGTCGTGGACTATATCTCTTCCCTGTGGCTACATACGGATGTGAGTCGTGGACTATCTCTCTTCCCTGTGGCTACATACGGATGTGAGTCGTGGACTATCTCTCAGTCTTTAAGAAAGAGAATAGGGGCTTTTGAGCTGAAATGCTATAGAAAGATTCTCAGAATATCTTGGACAAAGAAGATGAGAAATATTGACATCTTAAAAGATCTGAACATCAAGGAAGATTGGCTAATAAACAGCATCCTTTCTCGAAAGCTGAATTATTTTGGTCATATCGAGCGCCACGACAGATTGGAAAAAATTATAGCAGAAGGCATGGTACCAGGAAGGAGGGGCAGAGGCTGACCGACACGAAGATGGGCACAGGATATAAGTGACTTCTTGAGTGTGAAAGTTCATGAGGCGGGAGAACTGGCAAGAGACCGAGTTTCTTACAGGCAGATTGTGATGAGAGCGACGTTCTGCAAAAGACCTGCTACATGATGATGATGATGGTTATGAAAATAACTGTTGGTGAAGAGAATAAAAAGACAAATAAAATATATGGACCACATTAAAAGATGCGACCTACTGATGAATCTTTAAGTCTTGCAAGACAGGAATAGATCATTATAACAAACTGGCTGTTAGACGGACACACAATCAGACTGACACTGGTACCTTCGACCTAGAAGCCTTCGCTGGCTGTTTGAGATGTGGACACAGCATATAAGAGATGTGACAGTGATCCACACAACATTAACATATGATGATGGATGCTACAGTTTATGGCGGGCTAGCATGCTGTAGACAAAAGCAGAGGTGGTAATATATCAACAGATGAACTACCAGCAGCAGTCTGTCAGTGAACAAACAGCCCTAGTTTGGGAGATCCCCTGCTGCAAACCTTCACTGTGGATCGGATCTTGATGGACCGCGACTTTATTAGGAAAAGTAGCAGCACCGGGACAGTCCCGTTTTAAAAAGTGCCCCGATTGTCCCATCGATTAGACCCCCCCCCCCTCCCTTCCCCCCAACTGTCCCGTTTCATAACAGTCCAGAATTAGCTCGAGAGTCGAACATTCACTTATAATTTTATGGAAAGTTTTTTTTTTTTGCATGGTGTTAAAACGACTGACCGGCGATGTCCCGTTTTGAGCTTAAAATATTAGTGGGAATGCCCGTTTTTAGCTCAAGATATTAAAGTCACCTTAGACATGAACAGGATAATCAAAGACTTCCGGTCTAAAATTAAGGACTATGCATGGCGGAATTTTTGGCATCAAAGTTTTTTTTTGCGTCCATCAGCGTTTTACTAATGCAGTTTCCACATATGCACGGTACTCTACGGTTTCGCTGCCTGAGCTACCGAATTTATTGCTTGGTGCAGCTCTGCGAGCTGTAATTTTTCACGTGGACTGCCTTTAATTGTGCAGCGGTTGAGTCGTGGTATATAATATAATCGGTAACCGGTTTACGTATAGGCTGGTGGAATACCTTATGAAATAATTCTACGTGTGTTTAGCCAACTTATCGTGCCCAACTACTTTTGTTAACGAAAACCTGCATTTCTGGTGACAACTGTTAGCTTTAGCGCCTCTAGCAACTGCCATGTGTATTTACTAGGTGCGCATATTTGTGGATTGTGCCGGGACAAATTGTTTGTTCAATAGTTTTTGCAAATATGACAGTGAGGGTCGTTTCGTTTGATTTTTACTGGCATAGGAACGGGGCAGGGGGGGGGGGGGGGGGGGGAGCGGGTTGTAATAAAGTTGAAACCTCGACTAAGACCTAAGGATAATCCAATGTAAACAAAGCCTACATGCTGAACTGGTTAATTCTATTTGTGTCTTCCACAGTTCACATTCACCGGTGTCCTCAACTCCACACTGACCTTTACTACCGAGGTCAACATCATCCCTGACGTCTTCGCAGTCTCGGAATGCTCGGGCACGTCCTGTAGAGGCAAACTGGTGTGACGTTCTTTTATCGTCACACAGGGGAGGTCAAAGTCTTCATTAGCTTCCGCCATCTTTGATCCTTTTCCTTTTGCCCTTTACTTCCCTAATGAAGCATAGGCCTTCAACCAAATAACGCCAAGGCGGCATGATTTTGCTACCTCATTCGGGCCACCCTGTGCCTTCCCTATCTTCCCTTTTCCGTGACTTTTGTTCTGCTTTTATTCTATGCCCTTGTGGGTTCCAGTGTAAATACATTTTAGTTATATTTTACAACTATAAATACAGGACTGTAACAGTTTCTCGTTTTCCAAATGTGTGTGTCATTGTTACATTTGTTTCCTAACACGTGCCACTCACAGTACAGCAGGGTAATGTGACGCCAAAGTCAGCGAAGCGAAAAACGCGATTTTTTCTTGAGCATTTTCAGGGCTGTTGCATGCCACATTCTAATATGCTAGAGCACACGCTAAGTTCCTACTCCACACAGTCAAAATAAAATATTAATTTTCAGAAACTAAACAATTTTTACTGGATCTCAATGTCCAAACTCTAATTTCTTGAAACAAACGATGTAGCACTCAAACGACTGACTTTGGTGTGTTGACAATGTATGAATGCAGTTTGCTTCAGACTGGACGTCATTAATCATTGCTTCATATGTAAACATTATATTGAACTCCTCCTTCTTCGCTTCAGTTTGGTAGCTCAGATTAGACCATAAGGTGGATTGCCTCTGTGATTCATTGTTCCACATAGCTTCCTCCGCACACTCTGCTCTTGAGACCAAGTTTCTTTTCGAAGTTGCAGGTAGAGAAGGCAGGTCTGCAGAAGGTGCTCAGATGTTTGTGGTCCTGTCTGACAGGCACACTGTGGGGACTGAACAGCCTTTATTGTATGCATGTTGTAGTTGAGCCTGCAGTGCCCTGTTCTTAGACGGAAGATTGTGATATGTTTCTTTCTGTTGAGTCTGCTGTGGTGTCTTGTGGATGTTTACTGTTGGTTTGTTCTCTCTAAATTCCTTACATTTTCCCTTGATAAGCTGTGGCCTCATCTTGAAGTATGACGACCGATCCAGCTTCTCCTTTTTTGTCTGCTCCCTCCAATGATCCAAACGCGTAAACGTGTGTCCATTTGGGTTTTAGGTAAGAGTTGTAGACACGTTTAAGGGTCTTTGCATGCAGTACTGTGTCACATTCTTTAGTCTTCCTGTCTATGCCTGAGATTGTTGTTGACTGTACAATTAAGCTGTAGGTCTATCCCTGATCAATTCCCACGTTAAAGGACCATTAGAAAGAATTGTCACTGGTTTTGGCGTAGTACAATTCTGATATATGGTACAAGCTTTGTCTTTTCAGTCGGTTTTTAGTTATAAGCTGTTTGTTGTTCTGTGCATGAGGTTGTTATTCATGTTTTTAAATTTGTCTGTTATGGTAAGCACCTTTTCTTCCCTTTGCTGGCTCAAGCTCTGGAGGCCAGAATTTGCCTCCAGCTCATTGATTGGTGTGCCTCTCAGACCTCCAGTGATGATTCTTAGACCAGTGTTCTGTATTTTATCCGGTTTATGTAGATTTGAAATGGCTGCAGTGGAGTATGCTCCCTTGCCATACTCCAGTTTTAGTCGTACATACCCGGTGTATACTTGTCGTACAGTGTTGTCATCTGCACTGCAGCTTGTTCCAGTAAGTTTCTTCATAAGTTTGAGCCGCAGGGTAGCTTTCCTTTGTGTGTCTTCAATGTAGGGGCGCCAGGTTAGTCTTTTGTCAAATTTGACTACCAAATATGTGGGGAGTTCCTCTTTTAGATGTTGTCATCTAGGTACAGATCAACTGGTTCTAGCTTTGGGGAAAGGGAGATGTGAGTCGAGACTGTTTTGGTCTGGTTTATTGTGACTCCCCAAGAGTCTGTACATTTCTAACTGTATTTATAGCTTTCTGCATTCTTGTTTTAGTTGTTCTTAAATGTTTAAGCCTGGATCCATATGGTCAGGTCATATTCATGTAGGGCCTTGTTCAATGTGAGTCGTGAACTGTTTTGAGAGGTCACTGATGAAAAGAATAAACAGGGTAGGTGGAGATAAAACACCTCCCTAGGGGACACCTTCTTGTAAAATGACCAGCTTGCTCTTATGCTCTTCTAGTCTGACTCTCAAGCAGCGTCTGTAAAGAAAGACTCTAATACGGGCACAAATATGCATTTTTATCCCGCTGTGTGCCAGTTTTAGCAAAAGTCCTTATCAAAGGCTTTAGTCAGGTCGAAGTAAGTAACAAACAAAATTTTTTTCTGAAAACGGCTTCAATTTCCTGTGCAAGATAAAAGTTTGGTCATCAATGCTTCTGTATTCCTGAAACCTGATTGGCTGTCATCAAATATCTTTTTTTTTTTTTTTTCAGGTAACTAAGTAACCTGTTGTTCACTAATCTTTCCATAGTCTTTCCAAGGCAGCTTAGGAGGCTTATAAGGTTGTAACTGAATTTGCTTTCCTTTCTTGGCTGTAGGGACTATTTTTGCCTCCTTCTATTCCTTTGGAAGTAGTTCCTGGGTCCAGGACTGATACATAGGTCTAAGATTCGTCGCCTACCAGCTGGTCTCAAGTGTACTATCATTTCATTTGTTATTCGATCTCAATGTAGGAACACCATTTTCTTCAAACAAACGATTTAGCACTTCGTGACACTGGTGTGGTGACAACGATGTACGAATGACGTTTGCTTCAGATTGAACTTCATTAATCATTGCTTTAGATGTAATCATTATACTGAAGTTCATTAAAAATAATCATTGCATCAGATGTAACCATTATATTGAAGTTCATAATCATTGTTTCCGATGTAACCATAAACGAAAATGAAAATTCATCAACAAGTTCATTATCATGTTAATAAATATCAGTGTTCAAGTGCAACACATAACCTAACTGACAGACATAACCAGGCAGGAAACCTCAGAGTGTGTAGTAGTAGTAATATTATAATAAACGAACTGACATGTATTGATCAGCATTCACAGAAAAAAGTAAAGTAGAGATCCTTTTCCAAACAAGTGTACTTCAACGCACACCAATTCGGCACCGGTAAAAAGGTATCACGTCTATTATTGAGCTTCAGCATGGAACATACACTGTTGTTCGCGTTTGAAAAATGGACAATAAACAGGCAAGAAAAAGAGACATGTAATTGCAAACAAGCGAACACTGAAAATACTAACCACACTATTTATCAGCGGCCTCCGTGGCTTAAGCGGTGCGAGTCCAACTCGTAATTCCAATGTACCACGATCGAAACCCACTGCTGGCTGCGTGGATTTTTATCATGGTATGGGGCGTCGACCCAGCCTAAAATGGGTACCAGAATGGCTGTCCTGGAGAAGTAAAGAGGGTTGGCATAATGCTGACCACATTACCCACCTAGTGTCAATTGGTCTGTAAAAATATGGGACACTCTTCCCATATTTTTTATGCGCCTAAGGCGTAAAAAAGGGATCATTACTTTACTTACCATTATCTAGCTGCAGTAGACGTGTGCTTTTTGATAAATTTTTAAAAAATGCCATGGGCAGGCCACAGCTTGTCATCAGTTGCCAATGGTCTACAGATAGCAACTGATGCCTCTTTGTTTTAATGGATTTGACTAATGGACTGTTGTCACCAATGTGTGGTGGGTCCAGAGAGAGAAAAAGTTTAACTCCAGCAATTCATGGACTGTTGTCACCAATGTGTGGTGGGTCCAGAGAGAGAAAAAGTTTAACTCCAGCAATTCATGGACTGTTGTCACCAATGTTTGGTGGGTCCAGAGAGAGACAAAGTTTAACTCCAGCAATTCATGGACTGTTGTCACCAATGTGTGGTGGGTTAAGAGAGAGAAAAAGTTTTAACTCCAGCAATTCATGGACTGTTGTCACCAATGTGTGGTGGGTCCAGAGAGAGACAAAGTTTAACTCCAGCAATTCATGGACTGTTGTCACTAATATGTGTTGGGTTCAGAGAGAGAGACAAAGTTTAACTCCAGCAATTCATGGACTGTTGTCACTAATATGTGGTGGGTTCAGAGAGAGAGACAAAGTTTAACTCTAGCAATTCATGGACTGTTGTCACCAATATGTGATGGGTTCAGAGAGAGAGAGACAAAGTTTAACTCCAGCAATTCATGGACTGTTGTCACTAATATGTGGGAGGTTCAGAGAGAGAGAGACAAAGTTTAACTCCAGCAATTCATGGACTGTTGTCACTAATATGTGTTGGGTTCAGAGAGAGACAAAGTTTAACTCCAGCAATTCATGGACTGTTGTCACTAATATGTGTTGGGTTCAGAGAGAGAGACAAAGTTTAACTCCAGCAATTCATGGACTGTTGTCACCAATATGTGGTGGGTTCAGAGAGAGACAAAGTTTAACTCCAGCAATTCATGGACTGTTGTCACCAATATGCGGTGGGTTCAGAGAGAGACAAAGTTTAACTGCTGCCCTGTGACTGACTGTGGAGGCACAAGTCATGAATACATGATAATGGCCGAATGTGCTCTTGATTTGGAAGGGCTGGCACAAGCAGACATGAGGTAGTGACTGTTGGTGTTGACAACAAGAGGATGAGGATGAAAGGAGGAAGAGGAAGAGGAAGAGAGAGAGGAGAGAGAGAGAGAGAGAGAGAGAGAGAGAGAGAGAGAGAGAGAGAGAGAGAGAGAGAGAGAGAGAGAGAGAGAGAGAGAGAGAGAGAGAGAGAGAGAGAGAGAGAGAGAGAGAGAGAGAGAGAGAGAGAGAGAGAGAGAGAGAGAGAGTTGGTGTAGGTTAGACATCTAAGGTGACAAAGAACTGAGATGGTAGTTGAGCTGGTAGCAAAGATGTGTGTATGTCCTTACACCTACTTTTGCCTACAATACATTACAATTAACAAGAAGCACCATGTAAAGATCAAAGAATACAACCAACACTTACAATATCAACTGAGCAACATTCATTCAATTTTACATTCATTTAACTGCCAGTAAATATACTTGTATATCAAAACTATAGAAGAAATTATGCAA